CTTATCCCTGGTGGAATTGCCTGCCTAAAATTGGGAATGCCTCTAATGCTTTGCAAAATGTGTAAAACAGAGTTACTGAGGGGAGCATTTTTATAAAAGCAGTAGGATGGTAGTGGAAAGGCAGACATTCAAGAAAGTGGAGTTGTTGAAGAGGGCTTTTTAGAAAAGCAATAAGACTGCAGTTCTAGCATCTGAAAATTTAGACAGTTAATACTGTGTTCATGTTTCCTAATTCTGGAATCCAGTTTTATTGCATGATTTATTGTATGCAAAATAACTGGTGTGCACTGCATTGTTTTCGAATTCTGTAAGCCTCCTTGTGTCCTAAGCAGAGTGATACCCTTCCACATCCATTGATATTGATGAACTTAGGAAAGCTTAACTTTGCTTAGGAATGGCCCTGTAAGATCGGGGGTTTGTTGCACCTTCACAATTACAAAATGTATTGTGGTGTGAGTTTTTGTAAGGTGGAGGAAGTAGACGGTGAAGATATTAATATTCATGTATGTGCAAGTGAGGTGGATGGGGTGTGTGTGAAGGCTGGAGATGTAAATGACACTAGAGGAGAGGTGGTGTGATGTGAAGTTTGACCAGTGTGGCCTGTATCTCAAGCCTCCACCTGATAGACTGATCTCAAGTGATAGACTGAATTCAACTAGATGCAGTTCCTTAAGTACACTGGAGAGAATTTACCGCAGCCTAATTAGAATTGCTGCTTGCTAGAGTTTTTCTTCCCTCTGGTACTGCCTGGATTACACTGTAGAAATGCCTTGGCCCTCTTTAGGGCTCCGTGTTGGAGAAGCAGGGGGAAAAAAAAGAATGTTCCGGGATAGGGGAGTAAGGATGTTCAGAAAAGAGTCTGGAAACAATTTACAAGTGTGACACACAGCATTTTCTGAGCTCATTCCATTGCAGCGTTTCAGTCGTCAGTTCCTAGGTGCAGAAAGCAGTTAGCAGTCATGCTTTTCAAACTGTTGTGGTGTCCTTTGGCTTTTCCACAACTTTAGGAATCTCGCTTCTCCTGGAGACTCCAAATCTTTGGCCAGCTTTCCCTAGAAACTAAGCTCCATGACAGGTACAGTCTCCTCCTGAAGCATTCACTCATTTAGCCTCCTAAAAGCCAGGCTCTGAGGCCTAGATAGTCTCCTGAGAAAGCATCCCTTCAGCCTAACTGCCGGGGGGCGCAAACTGCTGTCTGACGCAAACTGACAGTTTTAAGGATTTTCTTCTCCACTCCCAACTGGTCCCTCCAGCATTCCATGAGTCCGGATTGGCTGTTAGCCGCGACACAGGCACCCAACAGGAATAGAGGGGTTGGTGATTAACAGAAAGGGGTGGGAACTTTGCCTCTCCATCACAGGGCTGATCTGGGAGAGGAGTATGAAAAAGTGAATCAGCGAAGCCATCTAAGATTCAGAAGCTTGTCCTAGGTCTGACCGGCTGACCAACATTGCTTCATTTCTAGAACTTACGCATCGGGATGCCAGCCTCCAGGTGGGTCCTGGGGTCCCCCAAAATTACAGCTCATCTCCAGAGTACAGAAATCAGTTCCCCTGGAGACAGTGGATGCTCTGGAGGCTGGAGTCTAGGGCATCGTACCCCACTGTGGCTCCTGTCCTCCCCAGGCCCCACCCCCAAATCTCCAGGAGTTTCCCAACCTGGATCTGGCAACCCTCCCCTCCCCCCAATACCCCATCCGTGGCCAGGATGGACGTGGCAACCCTACTTACACAGGCAAGTCACATCAAGTAAAACTGGCTCACTGGTTGTTTTAGCCTTTAATTGAGCCTGCACGTTGCATGAACGACCAAAATGGTGTCTCTTGGAATAGCACTCCCAGTACACCGCATTCTTCCTTTTTAAGCCACTTAGGAGTTTTCCAGTGTAAATGGGTGAGCACAGATTCCTGGCAGCGTCAACTTGCCATCTGCAGCAGCACCGATGATAATAACAATGCCCTAAATATGTTATCAAAGGCTTTCACGGCCGGAGTTCATTAGTTGCTGTAGATTCCGGCTGTAGGTCGGAAAATCTACGGCAACTAATGCCCTAAATGTCTCCAGGAATCCTGTCGGGGGAGGGTGTCAGGTTGACATTCTTGCACCCATGGGAACGCTAGTCTGGATCCAGCCCTAGGGCTGCTGAGCAAGTTCTTGGAGCATAAAGCTTGGTGTAATCTTGTGAGTCACTGGGAAAGGCAATAATGCTAGGAAAAGTTGAAGGCAGCAGGGGGAAAAAGGAAGACCCAACAGGAGATGGATTTGTCATGGAATTAGGGCCTAGATTGAGTCTCAGTCCTCTGGTACATCTCCATTACTTTAATTTCTTTGAATCTTTGGTTCTGTTTCCCAGGAGGCTTCAGGGCTGTACATGACTTTTACCTTAGAGGATGTTTATACATTCCCGAAGTTAGTGGAGTCATTATCAGAATCAATATGGACAGGGTATCTGAAACTAGCATCCTTTGGCTCTCCAATTTGGTGTAGTGGTTAAGTGTGCGGACTCTAATCTGGGAGAACCGGGTTTGAGTCCCCACTCCTCCACTTGCACCTGCTGATGTGACCTTGGGTCAGTCACAAGCTCTGGCACAGCTGTCCTTGAAAAAGAGCAGTTTGTGTCAGAGTTCTCTCAGCCCCACCCACCTCACAGGGTGTCTGTTGTGGGAAGGGGAAGGGAAAAGAGTTTGTAAGCCACTCTGAGACTCCTTTGGGTAGCAAACGGTGGGGTCTAAATCCAATCTCTTCTCCCTCATCCAAGGCAGGGCAAATTGGGCCACGAGCAGCAACTAAGGGCCCAGTTTCCCCCTTTGCCTCCTCCTTCTGCACAGTTACTCGATCAAGGAAGCCTCAGCCCCTCAGCCTGCAAGACCTGAGCAACACTGTTAATGAGAGGAGACTTGGGAAGTCCTTAATTCATAGGATCGCCGTGAGTTGGAAGCAACTTAAGACACACGCTCTTGCTTAGACAAGAGTTTTAGGCCTTGGAAAGGGACCCAAAGGTGTCTCAGAGTGGCCTACAAACTCCTTTCCCTTCCCCTCCCCACAACAGACACCCTGTGAGGTGGGTGGGGCTGAGAGAGCTCTTGACAGAAACTGCACTTTTTCAAGGACAGCTCTTATCAGAACTACGGCTTGCCCAAGGTCATCCAGCCAGGTGCCAGTGGAGGAGTGGGGACTCAAACCCGGTTCTCCCAGATTAGAGTCCGCACACTTAACCACTGCACCAAACTGAAGTGCAAAGGTAGTGATGAGGCTGGAGGTCCTGGGTTGGTTCGGCAGGTGCACGATAAAACCAAAAAGTAGTAGTAGTAGTTGCAGCAGCCAAAATAGTCCCAACCAGCCTGAGCTTGTCAGAGCCTGGACGGTAAGAAGGGTCAGCCCTGATTAGGTCTCGGATGGGAGACCACCGAGGGAGACGGGCCGTTGTGCGGAGAAAGGCCATGGCGAACCTCCCCTGCTCGTGTCTCGCCTTGAAAACCCCACCAGGTGGAACTTCACAAGGTGGCCTTAGGTTATTTGCGACTTGATGGCACTTAAACGTCGTTATCCGTAATAGATAGGTAGCTGCATTAGTTGGACGGTAGTGCAAGGAAAGTCCAGTGGCACCTTAAAGGGTAACAAAATTTGCGGCAGGTTATGAGGAAGTGTTCTGCCAACCTAGCAGTTCGAAAGCAAGAAATTGCAAGTAGATAAATAGGTACCACTTCAGTGGGAAGGTAACAGTGTTCCGCGCGCCTTGGTGTTTAGTCATGCCGGCCACATGACCACGGAAACGTCTTCGGACGGCGCTGGCTCTTCGGCTTTGAAACGGAGATGAACCCCGCAACCCTAGAGTCGGACTCGACTGGCTTTCGAGCAAGGGAACCTTTACCTTTTTATGAGGAAGTGAGCAGTGACGTTACTCAGTTATTGGTTACTCAGTTATCGGTCGGAATGGCCGCTGCAGGAAGCAGTGTGGTGCAGCGGTTAGGGGGCCAGGCTAGCCCTTGGGAGGCCGGGATCCAAATCCCCCTTCAGCCAGTGGGTGCATTTCGGCCATTTCTCCACCTAACCTCCGTTACCGGGTTGTCGTGAGGATAAAATGGAGGAGGGCGGAGCCATGCAGGCTCCTTGGAGGAAGGGTGGGGTTGAAGCAAGTGACGGAGGGAAGCAAAGGGCAGTCTCCGTAGGTGTGGTGAGTGGCCTGATGCAGACGTGGGAATGTGTTATGGGAAGGTGGAAGAGGCAGGTCGTCGAGGAAGGTGATTTGGTGTTCTGTCAGAGATGGGGGTGGCCCCGAAGCAAGGTGGAGAAGTTAAGCTGTTTCTGTAAGGGGAGGTGAATAGGGTATTTTATTGGAGCACACCGGATCCAGAAGGTTTTATTCACGTTCTATGTAAAAGTAAAGGTAAAGGTTCCCTTGCTCGAAAGCCAGTCGAGTCCGACTCTAGGGTTGTGGTGCTCATCTCCGTTTCAAAGCCGAAGAGCCAGCGCTGTCCGAAGATGTTTCCGTGGTCGTGTGGCTGGCATGACTAAACACCAAGGCGCAAGGAATGCTTTTACCTTCCCACCGAAGCGGTACCTATTTATCGACTTGCAATTTCTTGCTTTCGAACTGCTAGGTTGGCAGGAGCTGGAGCCAGAGACGGGAGCTCACTCCGTCATGCGGCAACCCGGGTCTTGAACTGCTGAACTACCGACCTTCCACGGCCTGCAGTTCAGCGTCTTAACCACGTTCTATGACCAGAACATAAATCACAGATGATAAAATGCCTCATTGGGGCAATGCAACAATAATAAAATCATTCACAATACAATACTATTAGAACAAACACGGGGTGTGTGTGTCAAACAAGGTTGCCTTCTTGCGCGTTTCCTTTTCAATTTCCATACTAATGACCTAATAGAGTGTTTTAGGTCAGTCCTCTAGGTGTCGTTTAAGTAGCTTCAAGCTCTTTTGGTTTTGTGCCGTGGATTGGTCCCAGTGCAACACAATCCTAATCTTCTCTTTGCAGAGCAGCGTCCCGGAAGCTTTAGTCAGGATGTCCCTCTCCCCGAAGATGTTGCCGTGCAAGAAGAGGAGAGGCATCCCAGTCGATTCCCCCGAGGGGGAGACGGGTCCCTCTTCAGGTGCACCGTCTGTTACAATGGAGACTTCCTCCTCAGGCGGGATCCACCAATTCCAGGGCTTGGTGCAGCAGGACGAGGAAGCCGTCTTGACCGAAAAGAGGGCTCGGCTCAGCCCACCTGTTGAAAGGTTTGCCTGTTCGTCACCACCAACTCTGCCGGCACCTGTCGGGGACTTCGTGTCGAAAGCGCCTGGCAGTGAAATAGCAAAGGGAGTTGACGTTCCATCTAGAAACGCCCCTCAGAAAGGCTACAGGGAACCAGCAGAGGCTTTGTTGAAAGGTGAGAAGAAGGTCTTCTCTAGGCCGGGGTCAGATGGGTGTCGGCAGAAAAGTGAGGCGAGCCAGGATTCAAAGGCAGCACCCGACTTTGTCATGGAGAAGGAGCAGAAACTGGGCCGTGAAGGTAAGCGAGCGATGTAGGCCAAGAACTGGCCAAGTAGCGCAGAAATAATAAATTGTGGAATTTTTGTCTTGTGCCTTCAAATGATGTTTTGTTTATCTTCCGCCCTTGCAATAGGGTGGGAAAGAAGTCTTGGACAGAACTGGGATGTTGGGTGTGTGTTTACTACGCCTTAGGGCACATGTGAGAGAGTAGGGGTCATTTCCTGCAGGAGCGCACAGGAGCGGTGCTCTGGCAGTAAAGAGCCCAGGGGGCGGGCACATGCAACAAGCCCCACCCCCTGCTCCCAGCAGCCCTCAGTCAGAGCAAGAAGCAGCTCTGCAGAGCCCCCCGGTCCAAAACAGTCCAGTGGCACCTTTAAGACCAAGTTTTATTCAGGTACAAGCTCTCCCTCCTCTGTGAGGACAGATCTGCACGTCTCCCCCCCCAATAGCTATCAATCCAAAACAGTCCAGTGGAGCCTGAGCGGTGGGTGTTGCCTTCTTCTGATACACTTCCGGTGATGTCAGGGGGTGTGGCATATGCTAATGAGTTATGCTAATGAGCTCCTGCACCTCTTTTTCTACGAAATGACCCCTGTGAGAGGGCCTTTTTGGTGGCAGCCCCACGATTATGGAACAGCCTCCCCAGGAAAGTGCAACCGGTCCCCTCATTTTCAGTCTTCAGGAGGCAGCTGAAGACAGTTTTCTTTAGGACCGCATTTGACTCATTTCGTTTTTCTTTATTGGCAGTCCTAATTGAGATTTCAAATTGTGGCCTTCAAGGGTTTTTTTTTTGTTTAAAATAATCATTTTATCTACATTGTAGGCAGTGTTGAAAAAATTACTATTGAAAAAAAAATTGAGAAAGTCTCCAGGCTTTTCCCAGCCTGTTCCTTTGAAATGAGTGAAATGCTTTGTAAGCCAAGATTTTTCTCATTCAGAAAGAGAAAATATTTTATATGAGATTCCCCCCCCCCTCCCCCGAGTCCTCATAAATCCCTTAGCATTTTCTACTGGAATAGTTTTAGAAGTCCCGAGACTTTTTTCATCCTAGACATTTTGTCTTCAAAAGCATTTTGTTCTGAGACAAGGTATTTTATAGGATTTTTTTTTCACGCTTTGCGAAACATTGCAGTTTTTCCATTGGAAAAATTGAAACAAGCCCTCAGGGGTGTGTGTGTGTGTGTGGGAACATTCCCCCTACCAGTGTTCCCTCTAAGCTGAGTGAGTGTGAGCTAGCTCAGGTTTTTTAGCCTCCAGCTCACCCATTTTTGTCTTAGCTCAGGAAGGATGGCTCCAGAGCAAACTAATTTATGCAGCAGCCAAATCGCTTGCGCACAACTTTAATGCCAACAGCTCACAAAGTAGAATTTTTGCTCACAAGACTCTACAGCTTAGAGGGAACCTTGCCCCCTACCCTCCTGGGCTTTTACATTTGTGCCACTTGTCATAACTGGGATTACAGCGAACATCTGATCTGTTGGTTCCAGCCGTTGGCCTTTCACCAAAGCCGGGGGCTGAATGTGAGGAGGGGGATGCCGCCTCTAACACAAAGGCCCCGAAGTTCACACAAGGCAGTGAGTTGCTTCTAGAGGCTGAGGAGGAAGCTGAAGAGATGGGGCTGTTTATCCCAGTGGGTGAGTATTGGAAGTGTGCAGCAGGATCCTAGAATCGAGTCCCGGTAGGAAGCCTCTAAGAAGTTCTGTGCCCTCCTTAGAGATGTAAAATTTCTGGAAATTTTGAAGCTCGGAAAAACCCCCGGTTTTTCCGTTTCCCCCCAGAAAAAAATGGAAATTTTTGGAAAATTTGAAAAAAATGCTACATTAGCATTTCTTTTGTCTTTTCTAGATTGAAAGTCATTCTGTTACTTTAGGAACATAAAATATGACTATGGACATTTTTACTTGGCATGAAATTATCACAGCTAGCATATTAAAAATATAGTGTATCCAAACAGTTATTACAAACAGAATACCCACCCACATGCAAAAACAAAACTGAAACTTTTTAATTTTCTTCTGACAATCGCACCTCCTAAAGGAAGAAATGCATCTTGTTCTTGCATTGGAGAGTTCAGTTTGTAACCTAGGACTTGCTTGTCCTCAGTGCACAGAGATTAGATCAATCTGATACCATATATATATATATTTCGGAAATGATTTGGAACATATTTGAACCCCTTGTCTTAAAATATTTTATTCATCATGTTAAAATAAAATGTTCCATAATAAAAAAAAAATCTTTTATTTTTTCAATTTTTCGGAAAAAACCAAAAAGGCTTCGGGAAAAAAACGGGGAAAAACCGTTTCCCCCCCGAATTTTTCCGGTTTTTTTCCAGGCCTTCACATCTCTAGCCCTCCTCCTTCAGTCCCGGCTTTGGAACGGAGCAGACCGTCGTGACGGGAGGCAAAGTTGCCAGCAGTAAAGAGCCCACTTTAAAAAGGGAGGCTCACTTATCTGATAATTTCGGGGGCAGCCGTGTTGGTCTGCAGTAGAGCAGCCGGACTGCAGTAGCACCTTAGAGACCAAACGGAGTTGCAGCACAGTGTTCCCTCTAAGCTGAGTTAGTGTGAGCTAGCTCACAGTTTCTTAGCTTCCAGCTCACATGTTTTTGTCTCAGCTCAGGAAGGAGGGCTCCGGAGCAAACTAATTTATGCAGCAGCCAAATCACCTGCTCACAACTTTAATGCCGGTGGCTCACAAAGTAGAATTTTTGCTCACAAGACTCCACAGCTTAGAGGGAGCATTTGGTTGCAGGATAGAAGCATCCGAGAGTCAACTCGCTTTGTCATACACAAGACGAAGGGAGCTTCAACTCCTGAAAGATCATACCCCCAAAATCTTTTCAGTGACCCGAGATGTTCCTGCTCAAACTCCACTAGCAAATCTGGGGAAACCATTCCTTATCGGATGCGTATTCCATTGTTGAAAAAGACTGGGTTAGAGAGAGGCATGTTTAAATAGTTATTCACAGGACTACATGCAGTGATTAATAATTGTCGTATGGCAGTGTGTGTAGTATAGCCGGGAGATCCTAAGTTTGTCTGGCAGCCAGAAGTTCTAGCTCTTTTAGCGTTATGTACCACTAGGTGGCGAGCTCGACGTGTTTTTAAGGCACGAGATGTTTCAGAGGTGGTTTACCGTTGCCTGCCTCTGCGTCATGACCCTGGTACTCCTTGGAGGTCGCCCATCCGAATACTAGCCAAGGCTGACCGAGATCTGATGGGATTGGACTAGCCTGGGCTGTCCAGGGCAGGGCAGGACTACGTGTACAGTAAAATAAAAACACAAAGCAGCCAAAACTTCACTCGCCTCTTCTTTTTCCCTCCAGTAGTTTGTTCTTTCTCTCACTCTACATCAGCTCAGACCACACTTCACGTATATAATCACGGCTCAGCGTAGGTCAGGGCTTCAGTTGTTGTTGTTGTTGTTCAGTCGCACAGTCTGTTGTTGTTCAGTCTGACTTTTTACGACCCCATGGACCACATCACGCCAGGCCCTCCTGTTTTCCATGGTGTTTCAGAGTTTGTTCCATTTCATGTTTGTTGTATCGATAACACTGTCTCACCATCTCATCCTCTGCCGTCCCCGTCTTCTTTGACCTTCAGTCTTTCCCAGCATCAGGGTCTTCTCCAGGGAGTGCTCCCTTCTCATTGGGTGGCCAAAGTATTTGAGCTTCAGCTTCAGTATCTGGCCTTCCAGGGAACAGTCAGGGTTGATTTCTTTTAGGATTGACTGATTCGATCTCCTTGCAGTCCAAGGGACTCCAAGGGCTTCAGTAGCTTCCCATAATAAGCCCTTCTAGCCTTGCTCCTCGACTGAGGATCCACAGTCAAAGCAAAACATCTGATTTGGTGTCATCAAGGAATAACAAAAGAGCTCATAAGTCTGACAAAGGCAGACTGGCTTATAGCCAAAAACCACAGTCAAAGGTTGCTGAACCAGCGTTTCTCCATTTACAGTACAAGCACGAAAGGCTCAGGGATTTGTAAACTTAAAAAAAAAAAGAGTTTAATCCTCTGTGGGGGTTCCCCCCACCCCATCATTTTGGGTACCATTTGCTGGAGAGGCAGTAGATATGTTCAGTAAGGTACATTTTCACAGCCTGCAGAAGGCACCCTGAGCTTGGGAAAAGTTTGCGTGGGGATTTCCCCCCTCATTGGCCGGTTCGAAGAAAGCGCTTAGCCAAGTTCTGGTACAGTGGTTCTCTGTGGAAGAGTGGTGACGGGCGTCTCGTTTGCAGAGGAGCAAGAGGAAGGCGGGAAGAAGAAGAGGAGGAGGGCCGCTAAACGGAAGCGGGAGGGGAAAGGCCAGGAGGAGGAAGAGGAGGAGGAAGCACCCTTGGCTTGCGACCTCAGGCTAGATGACACCCTGGACCGGACTCTGGAAGACGGGGCGAAACAGCATAACCTGACAGCCGTCAACGTGCGGAACATCCTCCACGTAAGCAGGGGATGGGGTTGCGGGACCCTATTTTTAGGGCCTCGATAAGAACATAAGAGAAGTCTTGTTGGATCAGGCCAGTGGCCCATCCACTCTGTGTCCCACAGAGGCCAAAACCCAGGGGCCTTAGGATTGCAAGGGAATTTAGTGTGCGTTACAGCCTTGTGCACAAAAATTCCATGGAAGAAGGAGAGATTGGATTTAAACCCTGCCCTTCACTCAGAGCCTCAGAGCGGCTCACAGTCGCCTTCCCTGCCTCTCCCCACAACAGACACCGTGTGAGGTAGGTGGGGCTGAGAGAGCTCTTTCCAGAACTGATCTTGAGGGAACAGCTCTGAGAGAACTGTGGCTTGCGCAAGGTTACCCAGCAGATGCATGTGGAGGAGTGGGGAATCAAACCTAGTTCTCCCAGATTAGTCTGTGCTCCTAACCACTGCACCAATTCACTAGTCTGCCCTCCCCCCACCCCTGCGTTAGTCATTTGTAGTACACTGATGGCCTTGGGGAGGTGACTAAGACAGATAATGTCCAGTTTTCAAAACCTTCCCAGCTGAGTCACCTGGAGGCAACTTGTGTTCACCGCAGGTGACCAGGCAAGTGGTGATTTATTAGCCTGATTAATTAGTTACATTTCAGTCTTGCTCATGGTCTTCAGGATGGTGGGCCCAGCATTATTTTCGCTTTCTGTTTTATTGATACCACTGATTGGAAGACCAAGCGCCGCTGGCAGGTTGACTTACTTGGCAGCCCCGCAGGGGCTGATTGGACCTGACTAGTAACTGTGCAGAAGGAGGAGGCAAAGGGGGAAACTGGGCCCTTAGTTGCTGCTCGTGGCCCAATCTGCCCTGCCTTGGATGAGGGAGAAGAGAAGAGACTGGATTTATACCCCACCGTTTGCTACCCGAAGAGTGGCTTACAATCTCCTTCCCCTTCCCCTCCCCACAACAGACACCCTGTGAGGTAGGTGGGGCTGAGAGAGCTCTTGACAGAAACTGCTCTTTTTCAAGAACAGCTCTGAGAGAACTTGTGACTGACCCAAGGTCACACCAGCAGCTGCAAGTGGAGGAGTGGGGAATCAAACTTGGTTCTCCCAGATTAGAATCCGCGCTCCTAATCACTGCACCAAACTGGAAGCGACACTGAGCAGGGCCTGTCCTGATGACCTGAGCTGTTTCGCTCAGTGTCCAAAAAAATGAGCCACCCCTGGGAGGTGCTGGCAACGGAGGTACAAAGCAGAATTCAGTTCACATGAGACATCCAGGTCCCAAACAGCTGTGGACTTTAGAAAACCAGCACTTTGTGACCCGGGCAAGGAAGTGTACTGGAAGCCATTGAAGGTGGTACAGAATGGGTTGTGATTTATTTGAAGAAGCGGGATTCAGCCACCGCTCTGCACTGACCATGAGCACTCTTCAAAGGCGGCCCCGTGTAGAGGACATTATGGTAACCTAAGCTGGGTACGGTCAAAGTACGTGGCCTCGTTTGAAGGCTGTTGGAATGACCCACAGACCCTTTTGGTCTGTTTCCCTGTTGAAATTCCTTGCTTGTCTTGGGTCCCACCATCTTGCAGTTACGAGCAGTTTGTCTTTGCCCCTGGCCTAAAGATGGCTGAAACCATTTCCCCCCCCCCTTCCTGTGTGTGTGTTCCTGCAGGAAGTGATCACCAATGAACATGTCGTGGCCATGATGAAAGCCGCTATCAGTGAGACCGAGGACATCCCCATGTTTGTGAGTCTCCCTGTCCCCCTCCCACTATCAGAAAATTTGAGAAGAAGAAGAAGAATGAAGACCACGTGGGTGAATTTTCTGTGGTGCAAACTTTCATTCCCCCCCCCCCCCCGTTTTTTTCTATGCTCCAGGAGCCAAAGATGACTCGCTCCAAGCTGAAGGAAGTGGTGGAGAAAGGAGTGGTGAGTTGCCGTGTGTGTTTTGCTCTGACCTGCGAAAAGGGGAAGGGGCTACTTGGTTAATCTGAGGAAGCTCAGAGAGTCTGCAGCTCATTTTCCAAATCCCGAAAGGAAAGTCCTGGTGAAAAGGGTGTGTTGAAGTTAATTATCAAGGGGAGAGGTTGTGGCTCAGTGGTAGAGCATCTGCTTGGCATCTCCAGCTAAAAGGACCAGGCGTCGTAGGTGATGGGAAAGACCTCCACCTGAGACCCTGGAGAGCAGCTGCCAGTTTAAGAAGGGGCTGTGGCTCAGTGGCAAAGCATCTGCTTTGCATGCAGAAGGTGTGTGTGAGAGAGAGATTGGATTTATACCCCGCCCTTCGCTACCCAATGGAGCCTCAGAGTGGCTTACAATCTCCTTTCCCTTCCCCTCCCCACAACAGACACCCTGTGAGGTGGGTGGGGCTGAGAGAGCTCTGAAAGAGCTGCTCATGAGAGAACAGCTCTGTGATAACTTGTGACTGACCCAAGGTCCCACCAGCAGCTGCATGGGGAGGAGTGGGGGAATCAAACCTGGTTCTCCCAGATTAGTTTCCGTGCTTCTATCCACTACACCAAACTGGCTCTCTGGGTTCAGTCCCTGGCATCTCCAGTTGGAAGGACCAGAGAACAGGTGATGTGAAAGAGCTCTGTTTGAGACCCTGAAGTGCCACTGCCAGTCTAAAAAGGGACTGTGGCTCAGTGGCGAAGCATCTGCTTGGCATGCAGAAGGTCCCAGGTTCATCCCACAGCATCTCCAGCTAAAAGGAGGACCAGGTGTCGTAGGGTATGGGAAAGACCTCCGCCTGAGACCCTGGAGAGCTGCTCCAAGTGTGACTCGACAATACTGACCTTGGTGGACCGAGGGTCTGATTCTGTATAAAGCAGCTTCACATGTTCTTGTCATAAATTATGGAAATGGCTGCAGGGCAGGCAGTTGGAAAAGAATCAGTGGAATCCCATACCTTCCTTTTCCAGTGAGGGACCCTCCCTCCAAAAAAAGAATGACCTGCTATGAAGTTCAGTTGCTACAGCCTCCACACCGTTCATTTCTTCTCTGGCATTGGTAGTTACAGGCAAATATAGCTCAGGGTTTTCCATTGTTAATCTCCCTAATCTAGTCTAACCCTTTATTCTAAGAAAATATAGGGGGGCATCATTTGAGTTGTACGATTCAGTTCCCACGTTCCTTACTCCTGTTTTCTCAAAACGTTTTTGAGAAGAGAGCCGGCCTTTTTTTGGAGCCTTCGGAGAGACGTTTATTCCGGTGCCACATCGCTGATAAACTCCTTTACCTCCTTCCCTTGCAGTGCAAAGTCATGCTAACGACGGTTTTTGTTTCCTCAGGTAATCCCTACGTGGAATATTTCTCCGATCAAGAAGGCAAATGAAATCAAGGTGACTGTTTGGCTAGTGAATGGGCATTATGTTTGGCACGTTACAGAATGGGGCTGGAGAGATCCCAGGCGCCGGGGTGTCCTGGCGCCTAGAAGTTTAATTGCAGTGCCTGGTGTTTTCAGCAGTCATGTCACTGTAGCCTCTCTCAGCAGTTCTCAGTGGAAGTATGGAGAGTTGGATTCAAATAGTTTTGCCACTCGTGGTAAAGAGAGGGAGGGGGTCCCCTTTGACCACAAAAGGACTACGTTTGGTATCGTGGGACCTGCATGGACATAAGCCACGTGGCTTCCTCGGGAGGCGGTGGGCTCTCCTTCTTTGGAGGTTTTAAAACAGAGGCTAGATGGCCACCTGACAGCCATGCTGATCCTGTGAACTTGGGCAGATGATGAGAGGGAAGGCAGGAAGGGTTGCCTCAGTGCTTGATTCTCGTGGCCCTTTCTTACATGCTCAGGGAAATGCCAATTGTCACTTTGGGGTCAGGAAGCAATTTTTCTCCAGGCCGGTTTGGCCGGAGATCCTGGAGGGTTTTTTTGTCATCTCCTGGGTGTGGAACAGGGGTCACTGGAAGGGTGTGTGTGTGTGGGGGGAGGTATTTGTGAATTTCCTGCCCTGTGCAGGAAGGGAGGGACTAGATGTCCCCAGAGGTCCCTTCCGACTCTATGATTCTATGAATAGGGGCTGTAATAAGGAGAGAAGTTGGCCGCGATTGAGCCAGAAAGTTGGTTGGATCCAACGCAAAGCTTATCTATCCTTTTGCATCAGGGTGTTTTGTTTGTGACATAAAAAGAAATAGATTCAGGTGGGAAGCCATGTCGTCTTGGCGTAGAAGGGCGATGTTTGAGTCCAGTAGCACCTTGTATCTCTCAAAGAGAGCTTCGACTCTCGAAAGCTTATGCCCTAGAAATCTTGTTGGTCTCCAGGGTGCTCCCGGACTCAAATTTTGATCGTAAAAATAAATGTGCGTTAAGTTCTACCTGGATACTTGGATATGATTGGAGTGATGTACATTTTCTGGTAATACTGGCAGTGTAAAAGTACATGCTTGATTGTCTATGCTGATCCAGATTGACAAGAACAGAGACTTTGTGCATACGGAGTGGTATATGTCTCCCATAAGAACATAAGAGAAGCCAATGTTGGATCAGGCCAATGGCCCATCCAGTCCAACACTCTGTCACACAGTGGCCAAAAATACCAGGTGCCATCAGGAGGTCCAGCATTGGGGCCAGGACACTAGAAGCCCTCCCACTGTTGCCCCCCCCCCAAGCACCAAGAATACAAAATATCCCTTGCCCCAGACCGAGAGTTCCTATCCATACCTTGTGGCTAATAGCCACTGAGGGACCTCTGCTCCATAAGTTTATCCCCTCAAGAAGGGCTGATCGGAGAGCATTAGATCTGGGCCAGGGTAAAAGCTCTGTGGTATTGGGGCATTCCGATGAAAAAACGTAACTCGATAGAGTAAAATTTTGATTGCTGTTCCCCACTGCCAGAACAGAGCAGGCTTGAGGTCACTGTTCCCTCTAAGCTGAGTTAGTGTGAGCCAGCTCACAGGTTTTAGCCTCCGGCTCACACATTTTTGTCTTCGCTCAGGAAGGATGGCTCCGGAGCAAACTAATTTATGCAGCAGCCAAATCGCTCGCTCACAACTTTAGTGCCAGTAGCTCAGCAAGTAGCATTTTTGCTCACAAGACTCCACAGCTTAGAGGGATCATTGCTTAGATCTGTCCTCTTGAAGAGAAATGCCCCATAGTCTCTGTTTAATTGTTGCTTTAGCTGCTTGGTAGCCAAGGTGCAAAAGAACCACACTGGAAAAACCCAGAAGGAACCATTTGTGTTCTATTATTGTCACCCACCATTCAGTGGTGACGGATGAATTCATTCTTAAATCAGTTGCCTTCTGCTGGCTCCCGTAACTGGAGCTTTTGAAAGTAACAAGGGAATTATGAAAAAAATGGGGAGAGGTTAAGCTAGGGTTGGTGGTGGAGGAAAGTCCCATCAAGTAGCAGGCGACTTATGGTGACTGCCAGTGTTCCCTCTAAGCTGGGTTAGTGTGAGTTTTTTAGCCTCCGGCTCACACCTTTTTGCCTTAGCTCAGGAAGGAGGGCTCCAGAGCAAACGAAATTTATGCAGCAGCCAAATCGCTCGGCTCACAACTTTAATGCCGGTAGCTCAGAAAGTAGCATTTTTGCTCGCAAGACTCCACAGCTTAGAGGGAACATTGGTGACCTCGTAGGGTTTTCAAGGCAAGGGATGCGCAGAGGTGGATTGCCGTTGCTTGCCTCTGCATAGCAACCCCGGACTGGCATCTCCAGTTGAAAGGACTAGGCAGCAGGTGATGTGAAAGACCTTTATCTTCTTGAGATCTTGAAGAGCTGCTGCCAGTCTGAGGACACAGTACTGACCTTGATGGACCAATAGTCTGAGTCACTAAGAGGCAGCTCCATGTTAAGAAGGACCAAGCAGGAGGTGATGTGAAACACTTCTACCTGGGGCCCTGGAGAGCCACTGCCAGTCTGCCAGTCTGAGTAGACAATACTGACTTTGGCGGACCGAGGGCCTGATTCGATAGAAGGCCGCTTCATGCGTTCACCCCCACTAGCTTTCTATCAGCCATCTTTTGACGAGCTGCCTCCCCCGTTCGTTCCACCGCATTTGCCTTGGCGTTATCTTGCCCCCCCCTGACCTCAGTCGGTGTCTTCCTTCTGCAGCCCCCCCAATTTGTGGACATTCCCCTTGAGGAGGACGATTCCTCTGATGAAGAGTACCAGCCAGAGGAGGAGGAAGAGGATGAGACAGCAGAGGAGGTAATTTCTTTCCCAGATTTCTGTAACTATCTGGACTGCCTCACGCCGTCTGTACGGTTTGTCTTCAGCTGCTGGGTTTGGACACACAGATTAGACACGTCCACACTTTAGATCTACACCCCCTCCCCTCCCTATTGTTTTACTTGTTGCTGTTTTAAGCTTTAAATAGAGAGAGAGAAGAAGTCTTAATTCCTAGCGTGCATTTTCCCACCGAGACTCAAGGCAGATAACAAAATAATGGAAACGCAATTCAGCCAGACAGCAAAGATTTCCAATAAGCAACGCAATAGGACTCGGATTTCAGAACTGGAGAACAATGCAAGCGAAATGCTGCCTGATTACCTGGTGCAAAGGAGATGAAAGTCTTCTCCGCTGCTGGAGGGAGGGGTATCTTCTGCCCATGCATTCCAGGCCCATGGGGACCAAGTGGAATCTTTGTTCCTCCCAGGGAAAAGAGCTTCCACCATCCTCCCATGAGTTCTAGTCCTGCCTAGTCTACATTTTCAGTTCTTGTCTTTCCGGAAGGTCCTTCTATGTTAACGTGGCTTGTCTTGAGCAGCGTGACCAACACCTTCTGCTGTTCCTTTCCCGGATTAGCAAATCAGGGTAGGAAAAGAGCCCGTTTTCATCTGTTAATGCTTCTTATTCCTTCTCTGCAAGCTGAGCACCAGAAATGTCCTCTCTTGCACATCCGGAGTCCTCGTTGGCATTTTGGTCATCTTTAAGAACAAGGGAAAAGGTGGTCATTTGTAGAAAAGAATTCAAATCCCAGATTCCACGTTGCGGGTTGGAGATTGAAGGAAGGCCCCGGAATATGATAAAAGCCCATCCTTCTTGCTGAAGCAGCCCAGCCCAGATGGGTCTGTAGTGAGAACTAGGCCTCAGTCCAGTGATGGGTGCCACCACTAAAAAGGCCCTGCTCCTTGTCATTGCTCGCTCCAAAGGGCATGTGGCTTGGCAGTGAGCCTCAGTCCAGCGATGGGTGCTGCCCCCAAAAGGCCCTGTTCCTTGTCATTGCTCGCTCCAAGGCCCGAGTGGCTTGGCAGTGAGCCTCAGTCCAGTGATGGGTGCCACCACTAAAAAGGCCCTGCTCCTTGTCATTGCTTGCTCCAGAGGCCGTGTCGCTTGGCAGTGAGCCTCAGTCCAGTGCTGGGAGTAAACCAGAGGGAACATGTGTCCTTTGTCTGTTTTGGGACTCTTGTTTGAAGAGTTCCTTCTGTGTCTGTCCCAGCGTGATTCTTGCTGGGCTGTGTCAGCTGAGTCGTTCACCATGCCCAAGGGGAATGTCAAATCCTTCAGTGCAGGTAAGAGGGTGCTTTTCAGCAACCCCCCTCCTTGCTTTATTTCCTTCTCACTTTGCTTGGCAGGGCTTGTTGGAGAGTGACGTGGAAAGCGCTACCTCATCTCCGCATGGGCCCAAATATTCCCACGCCAGACAGTCGTCTGATGCAATGGAAGTGGAAGAGGAGGGGGTGGTGCCGCTGGAGGTAAGGGCCTCTCCTTATTTATTTATATTTATTTATGTTTGGATTTATATCCCGCCCTACCCCGAAGGCTCAGGGCGGCTTACAGGGGCACTATGTGCCAAGATTATAACAATAAAACACATAATATAAAACAATAAATTACAATAAAATACAGTAACAAGTTTACAATACAAGTTTACAAGTTTACAATACAAGTTTTCTTGGGACTCGGGGAGGTGCCGTAAGCATCCTGTCTCTCAGAGGCTGGTCCTTAGGCAGTCTCGAGCTGTGGTTTGAAGATCGGTTTGCCAACCGTGGCTTGCGCTTAGGTTACAGTTCAGAGTGTTCGGGAAATGGAGGAAGGAAGGGAAGGAAAAGATAATACCATGAGCCTGGGTCATGCCCCTCTGTCCCTCTCAAGTTGGGTGAATTTACTGGGGTGGTGGAAGCACCATCAAGTCACAGCTGACTTAATGGAGTTTCCAAGGCAGGACACAAACAGAGGCGGGTTGCCATTGCACTCCTCCGCACAGCGACCGTGTACTTCCTTGGTGGACTCCCAGTACCTACGGCAATGGCGGAGGGTTTCCAAGGCAAGAGATGGAACAGAGGTGGTTTGCCATGGCTTGCCTCTGCATAGCAACCACGGACTTCCTTAGTTGTCTCTCATCCAACTACTAACCCGGGCTGATCCGGCTTAGCTTCTGAGATCTGACGAGATTGAGCTAACCTGGGCCGTCCCCATCAGGTCAGAGATGGAACAGAGGCGGTTTGCCCTCGCCTGCCTCTGCCTAGCAACCCTGGACTTCCTCGGTGGTTTCCCATCCAAGTACTAACCCGGACCGACCCTGCTTAGCTTCTGAGATCTGACAGGACCAGGTTAGGCTGGGCCACCCAGGTCAGGGCATAAATTTATTTACATGAATATTTATAACGAAGTCTTTGGTGTGAGAGAGAACCTGTCTAAAGCAACAGCTATTACCCAATACATCCCAGGGGGGGGGGGGGGAAATATGAAATAACGACTGTCTCTTAACACAAAGAAGAACCAGAGTTACCAAACTAAAGCCCCACCTTCTCGGATATTAAAAGCCAGAAAAACAACAACAACAGTCAGCCAGCCAGCCAGCCTTCGTGTTCCTTCTGCCTTTTCCAGTCTGGTGATGGGTGAGTTTTTCCCCCCATTGTTTTTCTCTCTTGCAGGCAGAGAAGGCCTCTGTGCCCCCCCTTCAGCGGCACATCAGTGCCGAAGTGGTGCCGATGGGGCCCCCTCCCCCTCCCAAGCCCAAGCAGAGCAAGGACTGCACCTTCATGGAGAAGCTTCACGCGGTGGACGAAGAGCTGGCCTCCAGCCCCGTCTGCATGGATTCCTACCAGGTAACGCCTGCTTCTTTCTCCAAGCGCCTGTTGACAGTGAAGTCTTGGAATGTGTGGAGCAGCCTTATACCAAATCAGAGCATTGGCCCTTCAAAGTTAGTGTTGTCCACTCAAGAGGGTCAGTGGCTCGCCAGGGTCTCATGGTAGAGGTCTTTCACATGGCCTCTCGTCTCATCCTTTTAACTGGAGATGCTGGGGATCGAACCAGGGACCTTCTGCGTGCTGAGCAAGGTGCTTTGCCACTGGGCCAAGGCCCAATCCCAGGAGAAGAGTTGCTTCGGCCCCTGGCTCAGGAGAAGAGCTGCTTTCGCTGAACAATCCATAATGTGTCTCTGCTCCTGCTATACCCTCAGCAAGGCTGGTTTATGCTGCTGAAGGTCCATGAGGATAAAACGTTGTGTTTTTGTAGTTCTCTCAGAGTTCAAAGCGCTGCAAAGACATTCCCGTTTAATCCTCACAACAGGCTTGTGAGGTAGGCTGTTGCCGTTAGTGTCCTGCTGGGGATGAGGGCTGGGGATGAGATAGGGAGCCTGTCTCCTAGTGAGCTTGTGGTCAAAAGGTGATGTTTCAGCTGAAGGCCTCCCCAGCTTCTCTTAGCCAGTCTGCTATGCCAGTGCCTAAGTGGGTTTTTGAAAACCCTTATCTGTATCCCTTTTGAGTCTTTGAGAGCTAGGGGTGGCACCATCGTTTCAGACTCAGTCCAGTGCCATGTTGAAGGCCTAAGTGGGGGAAAAAAATTGGAGGTCCTATCTTGTGTGACCCCACCTTTCAAAGAAGGCTGGATGAGCGCAAGTCGCAGGGCTTTCTTTGTTGTGGCACCTCAACTCTGGAATTCCCCTACCCATGTTGATTTGCTGGCTGCCACACAATCCCCCCCCCCGGGCCCTTTGTTAGCAGAAACGTTTTGTTCTGGGGATTTTGTTTGTTTTTCTGCGGGTGTCCATCCCTGTCCCCGATTGGGTGAGTTGACTGGTCCTCGTCTCCCCCCCCCCTTTTGTATTTTTCTTTTGGCGTTTGTTGTATTTTTTTTATTTTTTTATTTCTGCCGAGCAGGTTCTTGAAGGGTTCTTAAAATGGACTTTAAAGTGGAATTTGCCCCGCCACACACAATTGAGCATACCAGTTTTTCCGTAGAACGAAATTTGAGTCCAGCGGCACCTTTAAGACCCAACAGAGTTCGATTCTGGGTATAAGCTCTCGTGTGCAAGCACCCTTCCTCAGGTACATCACACCGAAGGAGTGTGTGAAGACGTGAGCGTGCACCCGAAAGCTGCCTTATCCCGAGTTAAACTTTCTTGTTCTTAAAGGTGCCGCTGGACTCAGACGTTGTCCTGTTGTTTCAGACCAACACAGCGATCCCGCCCGAGTCTAGTTTTTTTGGTCTGTCTTTTTCTGTTTCCCATTTATTATCTGATTGCTTTCCATATTGGAAGCTCCCTTGCGATCTGCGAGGACTTGGGCACGTGATGGCTTTAAATAAGGCCATTCGGGTGGCCTTGCTGGTCTGCAGTGGCGCAGTAGGATATAAGCTTCTGAGAATCGAAGCTCCCTTTGAAGGAGCTGCTCATGTCTGGCGAAGGGAGCTTTGGCTCTTGAAATCTTACACCCTGAAAATCTTGTTGGCCTCTAAGGTGTTCTTGAACTCAGACCTAACTGTTAAATAAAAAGGCAACAGATGGTGTGGAGAGGAGGGGGTACCTTTAGATTTTTCCTTTCCTTTTCTCTTTGGTATTTTTGCAATGGCTGCATGCCCGTGCCTGGAAGTCATGGTGACCTTTGGCAACTTCTGCTGGGGCACGGAGGACGTTTGGAGAAGTGGCTTGATGGCCTGCCTCTGCCTCCCGGCCCTGGTATTCTTTGGAGGTCTCCCATCCAAATACTTACCAGGGTTGCACCTGCTTAGCTTCCAAGATATGATGAGATCGGGCTTGCCTGGGCTATCCAGGTCAGGGCGAGAGGGTACCTTTAGATCATCCAGTGGCACCAAAGTGGCAGTTTGGTGTATTTATTTATTTTATTTGGCTTCTATCCCGCCCTCCCCGCATAGCAGGCTCAGGGCAGGCTACATCAAATTTGAGAAAACCCCAATATACAAAAATCTATACAATTAAAACAACCATAAAATACAACCCTATCCTTTATTCGATGCAGTTGTCATTAAAATTAACGCCTCACAGATGTGATCTCTGGTGTGCAGTTCTGACCCACTGAGGTGTAGTGGTTAAGAATGGCGGACTCTAATCTGGGAGAACCGGGTTTGATTCCCCGCTCCTCCACATGCAGCTGCTGGTGTGACCTTGGGTCAGTCACAAGTTCTCTCAGAGCGGCTCTCTCAAGAGCAGTTCTCAGAAGAGCTCTCTCTGCCCCACCTACCTCACAGGGTGTCTGTTGTGGGTGGGGTATAAAACCTCCTCCTCAAAGCATTTTACCCTTTGGCTCTTGAAAGCTCATATCCCGAAAATCTCGTCTGTCGCTAAGGTGCTGCTACTACTAAATCTAGCTCTATCCTGCTTTTGCTGATCTTTCAGGGAGCTTTCAGTGTACTAAAGCAATCACTAACCCTCCTCTGTTGGAACACTACTCGATAACGAAGGTTTTAAATAACTTTAAATCGAAGCAGGAGCAATTTGACTCCTAAAAAGCAGAACATACATGCAGCAGCAGCAGCAGCACTCTTTATCTTTAACAAACCAATAGACACCTTCTGGGCAGGCTGCACAAGATGGCTGCAGTGTTGTCTTGCCTGACTTCCCAGGCCAGGAGCTGTTGCTTGATTGGATATGGAGCAGAGGTCCATCAGTGGTTATTAGCCACAAGGTATAGATGGAACACTCTGTCTGGGGCCACTAGTGATGCTCTGCATTCTTGGTGCTTGGAGGGCCACAGTGTGCGGGGGGTTCTGGTCCTGCTGCTGGACCTCCTGACGGCGCCTGGGTTTTCGCCACTGTGTGACACAGAGTATTGGACTAGATGGGCCACTGGCCTGATCCAACATGGCTTCTCTTATGTTCTTGGTGCTGGGGGGGGGGCAACAGAGGGAGGGCTTCTGGAGTTCTGGCTCCACTGGTGGACCTCTGGATGGCGCATGGGTTTTGGCCACTGTGTGACCCAGAGTGTTGGACTGCATGGGCCATTGGCCTGATCCAACATGGCTTCTCTTTCGTTTTAATGATTATCCCAGCTGGAGTTGGCCTGGAGTTCCCTCCTCGGACCAGCTGTGCTGTCAGAGCAGGGAGCCATTTTGGATCCACGACAAATCCTAGCTTGAGCCCCACTGTCCTGACGTTGCTCTCTTCTTTCTCTTTTGTCCTCCCCCCCCCCCCCCCGGGTTAGCCTTTGGAAGACAGCTTGATCGCCTTCCGCACCCGCTCCAAGAGGCCCCTGAAGGACGTGCCCCTCGGCCAGCTGGAGGCGGAGCTCCGTGCCCCGGATATCACCCCCGACATGTATGACCCCAACACGGCGGATGACGAGGAGTGGAAGAGCTGGCTCGGCGGCCTTATGAATGACGATGTGGGAAATGAAGGTGAGGAAGCGGTTGCTGGGGGCCAGTTGATTTGGTGCGCCAGCTGGTAGTGCAAATCCCCGGTTATCAGAATGTGGAATTAAAGGGAGCACCAGGGTCTGTATTCTTACTTTTGACAGGTATGGCATATTTGTTCAATATACTAATGATAGTAATAAAGTGTTGTCAAATCCCTCATGGGGTTTCAAGGGCCGCAGTGGCTCAGAGGTTAAGACGCTGAGTTGCAGACTGGAAGGTCTGTAGTTTGGCCGTTCGAGACCCAAGTGCCGCATGACACAGTGAGCCCCCGTATCAAGCACCAGCTCCTGCCAGCCTAGCAGTCTAAAAGCAAGAGATTGCAAGTAGAAGAAGAAGAAGAGGAGGAGGAGGAGAAGAGATTGGATTTATACCCCGCCCTTCACTTCCCAAAGGTGTCTCAGAGCGGCTTACAGACTCCTTTCCCCTCCCCTCCCCACAACAGACACCCTGTGAGGCAGGTGGGGCTGAGAGAGCTCTGACACAAACTGTTCTTTTTCAAGGACAGCTCTTGTCAGAACTTATGGCTTGCCCAAGGTCATCCAGCAGGTGCGAGTGGAGGAGTGGGGAAGCAAACCCGGTTCTCCCAGATTAGAGTCCGCGCACTTAACCACTACACCAAACTGGCGTAGATAGATCGGTACGGCTTCAGTGGGAAGGTAACAGCATTCCGTGCACCTCAGCGTTTAGTCATGCCGGCCACATGACCACGGAAATGTCTTCGGACAGCGCTGGCTCTTTGGCTTGGAAATGGAGATAAGCACCACCCCCTAGAGTCATATTCGACTGGCTTTCGAGTGGGGGAAACCTTTACCTTTAAATGGGGTCTCCAAGGCAGGAGACGTTCAGAGGCGGTTTGCCATTGCCCGCCTCTGCCCAGCAACCCTGGCCTTCCTCGGTGGTCTCCCATCCCAGTACAAACCAGGTTCAACCCTGCTTAGTTTCTGAGCTCCGACAAGCTCTGGCTAACCTGGGTTGTTCAGGCTGCTTCAGCCTGTTGAAATCACATGGATGGATGGACAGTGACGTCAAGTTGCAGCTGAATGAACATAGGAACATAAGAGAAGGCTTCCAGGGCTCTTTTTGTAGAAAAAGCCCATCAGGAACTCATTAGCATAATAGGCCACACCCAATAGCAAAATCCATTAGCATATTAGGCCACACCCTGACAGCTCTGCTCATTACCACATTAGGCTGCACCCCCATGTTACCAGAAGTGTGGTCATCCAGCCACACCCACCTTTCCCTTCTTATTCTGTTTACCTTGTTTGTTGTCAAAACCCAGGGCTTTTTTTGTAGCAGGAACTCCTTTGCATGTTAGGCCACACATCCCTAATGTAGCCAATCCTAATGAGTTTCTGCTGTTGGGTGTGGCCTATTATGCTAATGAGTTCCTGCTGGGCGTGGCCAACTCGGGAGCCAGCCGGAACTCCGTGCCTGTGCGTTCCAGCCCAAAAATAGCCCTGAGAGAAGCCAATGTTGGATTGGGCCAAAGGCCCATCCAGTCCAACACTCTGTGTCACACAGTGGCCAAAAATACCAGGGGCCATCAGGAGGTCCTGTAGGGTTTTCAAGGCCAGAGACAGAACAGAGGTGTGCCGTTGCCTCCCTCTGCATAGGAGACTTCTTTGGTGGTCTCCCGTCCAAGTGCCAACCAGGGCCGACCCTGCTTAGCTTCCAAGGTCTGAGGAGGCTGGGCTAGCTTGGGCCGCTCGAGGATGATCTTGTGCCCTGCTTGGCCCACCGCCTTTTCCTTCCCCTGAGAAGTCTGTCTTCTGCTCACAGACCCAGCGGGACGAGGGCATGGAGGGACGGGGAGGAAGCTTCTCCTTTAGCCCCGGTTAAGGATGTTTGTTTGTTTGTTTTTATCTCACAGATGAGGCCGATGACGACGACGACCCCGAGTACAACTTCCTGGAGGACCTGGACGAGCCGGACACGGAGGATTTCCGCAATGACCGGGCCGTGAGAATTACAAGTACGTTTCCCAGCTGCTGCTTGTCGTGACCGTTTTGTGGCTGTGCGTAAAACGAAATAAAAACCCGGATTTCTTTCTGCAGCATGGAGGAGGGAAGGCAGTCAGTGCCCTAGACGAAATCTGAGGTCCTTGACACCAGAGGCCAAGATTATTGACATACCTTTACCTGTCTAGTGCATGTTTACCTCGTCTATCCTCCATGTAGTTCAGGATGACGTACATGTCCCTCCCTTCCTCGATGTAGACCCACAATGGCCCTGTGAGGTAGGCTAGCTAAAAAGTGACTGGTCCAAGGTTGCCTAATCAGTTTCATGGCAAGACTGGAGATTTGAGCTTGCATCCTTGTTTGAGAGTCTAGCTCTGGGGTGTCAAATGTATGGCCCGTGGGCCGGAACCAGCCCATCCAGGGCTCTTATCCAGCCCACAAGCAACTGATCATGACCTTTATTGCCAGAAGACAGAGGTTGTGCATTTTGTCCCTGTATACTGTCCCAGTGCTGATGCGTTAATGGGCGGCAGAAGTGGGAGGGTGGGCATCAGGGAGATGCTGCAAGGAAATGCTGTAAGAGTGTTAACGTTTTAAGCATGTTTGCATTTTGAGTAAAAAAAAAATTGTTATTTGGGTTTGCCTGTGTCCCGTATAAAATTTATGTCTCCAGTACCCGGCATTACATTTTTATGGCACACGTGGCCCGGTCTGACAGAGTGACATTTATGTCAGATCCGGTCCTTGTAACTGTTGGGAAATTTGGTGAAGGTGCTTAGATATTCAGAGCTTGCAATGGATCTTTGTTCACTGGAGAGGAGGCATTTTCTGTCTGTGTAAGATCTACGAAGCAATAAACAGTTAAGGCTACATGCTTGCAACAGCAGAAAGACACAGATAGTAATGGAGATTCTTCTTTCTTCTTGACCCCTAGAAGGAAATCACCTGAATGCATTAACCAATGATTGTTAGTAAGTAGGCTCCAGTTTCCCGGGCTTTCTTCCCATTGGCTCTGTGCCAGGTTCCCTTCCAGGTCAGTCTAAACAATAGCACACAAGGTAAACACATTAACCCCATAATGACTGAATTTAGACCTCGCAACACACATATTTCCAACATCGACAAATGAGTTTGACACCTCTGGTCTAGCTGCTCCATCCCACTTGTTCTCCCTTGCCTGCAAAAAATTCAAGCCAAGTAGCATTTTTTTTAACAACCCCCCCCCCCCCCCAAAAATCACTTCACAATTAGATTGCAACAGTTTGTATGCCTGCAAGCAGGGGTTCTGTTGTCCTTAATATTCCTGGTTTCCCCCCCTTATTTTTTAAAATACTGTCTTGTATTTGTTTAGGCTGCTCAGAGAGATGATAAACACAGTAATCATCCCGTCTGTTTTTGTTAAGAATCGACTGCCGTGACAAATCACAGGCACTTACCAGTTTTACGAGCAGGAAAAGCACAGGATTAAGCAGATCAAAGAGTGCCACACAGCCTGAATTGTATAAATTATTCAGGGTGCAGATAAGAGTGTTCTTCTTACAGCCCAAGTGGTATCTCTGTTCACATTAAGTGAACACCGTTGCAGAGAACTGTGAAGCCATGAATAATTTCGATCAGATTAGCAGCTGTGGGGGAAAAGATTCAAACAGGGAAGCTCTGTGGTTTATTTAATTTTACCTGCTTGTTAGATTTTTATCCCACTCCTAAGAAGCTCATTGTATAAGGTCCTGCTCCCCAGAGTTGCCAACTCCAGGCTAGGAAATTCCTGGAGATTTGGCAGTAGAGTCTTGGGAGGGCAAGGGAAATAATGCCATAGAGCTCACCCTCCAAAGCAGTCATTTTCTCCAGGGTAACTGATTGTGGTTGCCTGGAGACCAGTTGTAATTCTGGGAGATCTCCAGGCCTCACCTAGAGGTTGGCAACTCTATCCCATTTACTGGAGCTCAGTTGTAATTCTGGGGGATCTCCAGGCCATGCCTGGAGGTTGGCAATCCTAGCCCATTTTATTCTTTCAGCAACCTAATGATGTCGTCTAGGCTGAGGGAAAGCAATTGTCCTGATATCATTTGGAGAGCTCTTGAACTGGTCATTTGTTTAAGAGCTGTATATTCTACCTACTAACCCTTGGAATTTTTGAAGCGTCTTACAATGATTAAGAGGTCCATAAAATCCAAATAATTAAAACAGGGAGGCATACAATAAGAACAGAATAATGACTCATCGCTCGATCTAATAATAGATGGGTTTGGACTCCTGTGAGGATAATGAAAGCCGTATATTAGGAGCCAACCACAAACCAGGTAGGGATTTGTTACATTCTTGGAGGAATCCCCTGGTAGGAAGAGAAATGACTCTGGTAATTAACTGAAAGGAAAAAACCTCACCTGACGAGGACTGAGCGTTCCCCAAGGAGGTGGAGAATGTTGAGAGCAGTGGAGAATTAGTAAGAGGAGAGGAAAAAAGCACACAGAGAGATGGAGATATCAACCTGCTGAAGCCCTCAAGAGTTTAAAGACGTTGGCTGAGTGATTAACGCAGCAGAGGTGCTCAGACTGATCCAAGTGCAGATAAAGCTTTATTTGGGGACTAACGTACTTTGATAGTAAAGAGAAGAGGCAGAGACAGGGTCCTGGCTACATCACTGGCTGAGAGATGGAGAGTTGTGGCACTTCTGAGAAGAAGCCGGGTCTTGCCCTAAGAGTGGCAAACCGGAGACGGACAAGGAACGACATTTAAGAGGAAAGAAGGGGCTGAGCTCAGTATCTATATATCTAATAGTGAAGTGGCCCCCTCTGTGCGGATATCTAAATCCGCACTTCGGGGGCACTTGGGGGGCAGGGAGAGGTTTGTGCACACGTGGGGCAGTCCCCACGTGTGCACAAAAATCCTAAATGTTGAAAAAAGAATCGGGGGGATGTTTAAATCCCCCCGAAACTCACAGAGCGTCCCCTGCGCATGCGCAGGGAACGCTCTGCGACTGAGGCTGCCGCCGCCGCCGCTTGGAAGGGAAGCGGCGAGCCGGGAGGGGGGGCCCTCGGCTCGGGGCCGGGGGGGAGGGGAGGAGAAAAAGCCTCCGCCGCTTGGGAGGGAAGCGGGGAGCAGGGAGGGGGGCCCAGAGCGGCGAGGGTGGGCGGCCGGGGAAAAGCGGGGGCGGGGGGGACGGCGAGGAGCCGGGAGGGGAGAGGCAAGGGGGGGAAGGCAAGGGGGTGGAGGACACGGGGAAACAGCGGGATGGGGGGGTACTTACCTTTTCCTGCTGCTTCCTCTGCCTCCGTCCTGCGAGTATCACGGGTCCACCCCTTGTTCTATCTAACTGGCCTTTCCTTTTGTTGACCCCCCCTGCAGGGTTCTTTTCTTCTTTTCCCCTACACTACACTTTGCTTATTCCAACAAAAGAATCCTGGAGGGAGATTTCCAAAAGGCACCCCCCCCAATTTAGGCACTTAGCTCGATAAATTTTTAAAAAAGCAAAGCAGAGCCATAAAAAATAATTCAAGGAGGGGCAGGAGGCAAACTGAAATGCCACTGAAAGCCTGGTCAATACTACTGGAGCAGTCTTATGCCGGGTGTCTTCAAGAAGTATGTTCCATTAGTCCAAGGGCCTCGGTCTCAAGACTGTGTCCTACGTGTGAGTTTTTCCTTATCTGCTTTGCGACTCGCGTGGCTCTGATGCCCCACTGATGTCTGATGGAGCCTTCCGCCTTCCGCCAAGCTGAATGGTCCCGTTGAGAATCGTGCCTGTTTTGTGTCTTGCAGAGAAAGAGGTGAACGAGCTGATGGAAGAGCTGTTTGAGACGGTAAGGCTCCAAGTCAGGCTTGCAAAATAACTTCACGAAAGGTGTTATCCCCGAAATACTTTCTGTGGCGGAACGGGCCTGTTCTGACTTACAGACCCTGTTCTGCCAGCCCCCTCCTTAAAAAGGTAAAGGTTCCCTTGCTCGAAAGCCAGTCGAATCCGACTCTAGGGTTGCGGTGCTCATCTCCGTTTCAAAGCCGAAGAGCCAGCGCTGTCTGAAGACGTTTCCGTGGTCATGTGGCCAGCATGACTAAACACCAAGGCGCACGGAACGCTGTATGCTGAACTACCGACCTTCCACAGCCTGCAGTTCAGCGTCTTAACCACTTGAGCCACCACAGCTCCAGCCCCCTCCTTGGCCTGTGCCAATTCCTGGAGGGTGCTATTCCACTTCTTCCTACTAGGGTATTGCTGCCACCACTGTCCTTTTGGGGTCTTCCTGCCAGGAAGGACAGACTCCCGACACCCCTTCTCACCCCTTCTCAAACTGAGGCTCTGCCTCTGGCCTCCTGCTTAACACAGGGACCAAATTCCTTCTTTGGGGATCCCCTGGAGGATTGGCAACGGGTGCCTTGACTGCTTGCCTTCCCCCGTCCTGGGACTCTCCTCTTACAGTAGCGTGGTCTAAGGCGGTTGGGGGGACTATGTGGTCCAGAGAACACTACCAGCTTCAAAAAGTAAAATATTTATTAAAAAGAGAAAAAGGCTGCAAGCATACTTTTAGCACAGCACCAGATCAGCAGCCAGAAAGACAAATAAAAGTTGGTCATAATTGCATCCTTCTTTCTCTGGTTCTAAACTTACTCTACTAGATGTTGAAACAGAGTAGGCAGTTTCAAGTTTAGGAAGTTACAAAAGGTTCTTAAGATGTTCCATGACCTAGGCTCTCTGCAGCCAGCAGGCCAGGCCACATGCTCCTGGCGTGTAGATCAGAGCTCAGCTGTCTGTCCTTTCCCCACAGATCAGCACCAAGTGTAAAGAGAGACCCTCCCTCCCTCCCTCCTGGGAGCAAGCATTAAACCCCTGGCTCCACCCATTCTACATCACTCTCCACCCCCTTTGACCTGGTCCGCCCAGGTCACCCGTGGACCCTGGGGACACCCAGGTGCATCCTGGGAGCCCTCTTTGCAGGGATTCTGGGAGATCTCCAGGCGTGACCTGGAGATTCCGAACACCAAATCCCTCAGTTCCTTTGCAAGACAATCTATTTACATAACTACATTACATAACTATGACATAACCTTCTGCCCTTCTAGAGAGAAGAGAAAAAAACCCCAGGAACACTTTAAAAACTCAGAAGGGGGTGGGTGGGTTTCTCCACACTTTCATTAACCTGGTGGTGGTGGAGGAAATACAGTTCCCTTTGAGTGCAATTACTGTGATGTTTATTTGTATCTCAGTGTTGATGTATGATATGCCATGAGCACATACAGTCATATTTGGGAACGCTGTATTTGTTTTGGGTTGTGGACCACCAACTCATTATAGAAGTTTTATTTGTTATTTAAATACTTATTCAATATATCCTATCCTCAGACATTTCAAGGGTATATAATCTTTGATGGACTTCCCTGGGCGTTTTTCTGCTGTTTTCTAACAGAATATAAATCCATAAAGTAGCAAATACCTAAAACGACCTATATAACAAATTCTGGCTATTGTACTTCGGTCATACTATGAGAAGACAAGACTCGCTGGAAAAGACAGTAACGCTAGGGAAAGTGGAAGGCAGCAGGATAAGAGGGAAGACCCAACAGGAGATGGATGGACTCAGCCAAAGAAGCCCACGGCCCTCAGTTTGCAAGACCTGAGCAAGGGGCTGTTAACCGATAGGATGTTTTGGAGGACCTTCATTCCTAGGGTCACAGTACTTAACATGCACATTATTAAGGGTGATTGAGGTGGGGGTAGCCATGTTGATCTGACGCAGCAGAGCAAAATTTGAGTCCAGTGACCCCTTTAAGACCAACAAAATTTTATTCAGGGTATGAGCTTCCGTGTGTGTATACCTTGAATAAAACTTTTTTTTTTTGGAAGCAGACAAATTGTAAAATCAACCAAACCGCAGGGAAAATAAAAAGGGGGTTACATGGTGCCTGAAACTACGGGTCCCAGAAGGGCTTCTGTAGGGAAGAAAAGCCAAAGTCAAGGTGCCGCAACCGAGAAGTACCTTCCTTGCGATACGGATTTGTATACTTGAGATTTCATGCAGGCTGCGCAAGGTGCTAAAAAACCCTGTTAATCCTGGAAGCTTAAGTCACACAGGCTGAATTTCCCGTGTGGCACCAGTCCTCCTCAGCTTTGGATGCAGAGTCTCTCTTGACCATGATCAGCAGTTGAAATTCTTTGTTTTCCCCCTGGGGTTGCCTCGCTCACCCCGATGCCCTGCGTCTCCACTCAGTTCCAGGACGAGATGGGTTTCTCCAACGTGGAGGACGAAGGGCCGGAGGATGAAGACAGTGCTGCAGAGGCCCGGCCGACTTTTAACACTCCCCAGGTGCTCAGGTAGGACTCCTCTTTGTCTTGTGGGCCTGACCTCGCTCTCTTGTTGTCATGTGATAAGGGTCTTGTTCATTGCCGGCCCCGCATTTGGTTTGCTTTCTGCTTTCTGGGAACCCTTTCTGCATCGTCCGGCTAGCCCCTGGAACCATCTGCTTTACGCAGGGGCTCCGTAATGGAGACACCAACAGGGAAAAGATCAAGAGCCCGTTCGCGGGGAGGGCGGGGTAAAAATGCAATAAATAAAATAAAATAAAAAGATGGGTGGCCGTGCTAGTCTGTCTACAGCAGTAGAAGAGAGCAAGAGTCCAGTAGCGCCTTAAAGACTAACAGAATTTGTGGCTGGGCAGGAGCTTTCGTGAGACACTGCTCACTTCTTCAGATAGATCAAGCTGCGTAGTCGTGTTAGTCTGCCTGTAGCAGTAGAAAAGAGCAAGAGTCCAGTAGCACCTTCGAGACTAAACAAATTTGTGGCAGGGTAGGGGCTTTCATGAAACACTGCTCACTTCTTCTAGCACCATATTAATTAATTTATTTATTTTTCGTATTTGTACCCCGCCCTCCCCAATGGGCTCAGGGCGGCTTACAGAGGCAAGGAAACCTTGCCATAATAAAAACTAACAAGGTTTTTAGGATATAAACTTTCCAGAGTCAATGCTCCCTTTGTCAGATAGGAGTAGGAATTGAGATCTCTGAGTCCTTTTGTCCCAGTCTGAAGGTGGTGGCAGCGGTGGGAGTGAGAGTGTCTAGTCCAATCAGTGTCAGGCGTGAGTGTCCAGTCCAATCAGTGTCAGGTGAGAGTGTCTAGTCCAATCACTGTTCTTCTGGTGAGCAAGCCTCTAACTTTCCTGCCAGAGCTGCGATGGCACAGGGCGTGTCTCCTTGTTTTGTGGGGCAGACAGGCTGAAGGGGTTGCTGACTCTGTTTGGGAAGGGAGACAGAGGAACCGCTGGGCCTTGACTGTCCTCTTTAGCTTGAGCAGTACTGGAGGGGACGGGCAAGAGCATCTCTGCTCAGCTACAGGACTGGTGCAGCAGTACACATGGTCTTGGCATCCCTTGCACGGTTGGGTGGGGCGTAGGAGGGTGTGTGTGTGAGAAAGAGAGAGGTGCTCAAAGATGCACACGCCTACCCAGCCACCTCCCGGGTCCCCTGTGTTTCTGAACCGAGTGGCATGAGCTGTGAGAGTCACGTTCCTGGGTTGAAGCTTGCCTTAGTTACAGGCTCGCTGGGCGCAGGCAAGTCGTTCTCAGTGGGAGTAGATGTGGGTTGCAGGCGTCATCCCAGGCTCAGCTCCTGATTCCTCCAGAAGCAGGGAGGAGGGAAACAGAAGAGAATAACCGAGATGGTGAGGGGGTTGGAGCACCTTCCCTCTGAGGAAAGGCTGAAGAGCCTGGGACTTTTCGGTTTAGTAGAGACGACACGTGAGAGTTTTATAAAAATTATGCTCGGGGTGGAGAAAGTTGACACAGAGAAATTTTCCTCCCTCTCCCAAAATGCTAACACTCGAGGGCCTCCAATGAAGCTGATGGGCAGTAGGTTCAGGACAAACAAAAGGAAATACTACTTTACATAGAGAGTGATTAAAATATGGAATTTGCTGCCAGAGGATGTAGTGATGGCCACAGTAACAGACAGCGTTCTAAAGGGATTAGACAGGTTTATGGAGGAGAGGTCTATCAGCGGCTGCTAGCCATGGGGAGCTGTGGGGAACCTCCATGTACAGAGGCACTAAACCTCTGAATCCCAGTGCTAGGAGGTAACAGCAAGGGAAGGCCTCAGCCTCTACGAAGAAGAGAAGAGGAAGAAGAGTTTTTATACCCCGCTTTTCTCTACCGTAAGGAGTCTCAAAGTGGCTTACAGTCGCCTTCCTTTCCTCTCCCCACAACAGGCACCTTGTGAGGCAGGTGGGGCTGAGAGACTGCTGAGAGGAACTGGGACTGGCCCAAGGTCACCCTGCAGGCTTTATGGAGAGAAGGAATGGGGAATCAAACCCACCGCTCTTAACCACTATCCCACGCTGGCCTCTCTTCCCTGTTGCTGGCCCTCCAGAGGAACTGGTTGAGGCCACTGTGCAAGGCGGGATGCTGGGCTAGATGGACCCTCACTGGTCTGATCCAGCAGGACTCTTCTGATGTTCTTATGAGGGGAAGGCCTCGGCCTCTCTGCCCTGTTGTTGGCCCTCCGGAGGAACTGGTTGAGGCCACTGTGCAAGGCGGGATGCTGGGCTAGATGGACCCTCACTGGTCTGATCCAGCAGGACTCTTCTGATGTTCTTATGAGGGGAAGGCCTCGGCCTCTCTGCCCTGTTGTTTGCCCTCCAGAGGAACTGCTTGAGGCCACTGTGTGAGATGGGGTGCTGGACTAGATGGAGCCTCACTGGTCTGATCCAGCAAGGGCTCTTCTTATATTCTTATGAGGGGAAAGCTTGGGTCTCTCTGCCCTGTTGCTGGCCCTCCGTCCAGAGGAACTGTTTGAGGCCCCTGTGTGAGACGGGATGCTGGGCTATATGGACCCTCACTGGTCTGATCCAGCAGGGCTCTTCCGATGTTCTTATGAGGGGAAGGCCTCAGCCTTTGTGCCCTGTTGTTGGCCCTCCAGAGGAACTGGCTGAGGCCACTGTGTGAGACAGGATGTTGGACTAGGTGGACCACTGGTCTGATCCAGCAGGGCTCTTCTGATGTTCTTGTGAGGGGAAGGCCTCGGCCTCTCTGCCCTGTTGTTGGCCCTCCAGAGGAACTAGCTGAGGCCACTGTGTGAGACAGGATGCTGGACTAGATGGACCCTCACTGTTCTGACCCAGCAGGGCTCTTCTGATGTTCTTATGTTAAACTCTCCCACGAGGCTGTTTCGTAAGTTCAGCTGCGCTCCCTTCCAAAAAAGCCTGGCTAGTTTGGGAGTGGCATTAACCCCAAACATGTCCTTAGCCTTAAAATAGTTACTTTGGCTGCATTTGCGACCTTTGATGCACCTCACCCCTTGGTCCCGCTGTAGGTTTGAAGAGCCCCTGGCCAACCTGCTGAAACAGCACCGGACGGTGAAGGAACAGCTGGAGCAGCTGCGCATGAAGAAGTCGGTCATCAAGCCGCCCCTGGAGGTGGAGACTCCAAAGCCGCCATGCAAGAAGCCTCCTGTCCTGACCCTGGACGCCCGGCAGAGGAAGAAACTCCAGCATCAGATGCAGCAGGTTAGCCCCTGGGAGCAGTGACCTGCCAGGCAGGTCCCATTTGCTTTGTGCCCACACCGCCTTGTGCTTCTTGAGCACTGGCAGCATCTGGGTGTTCAGGGGGCGTCGCTGGCAATGAGCAGACCTCTGGGGGGAGGGGCCGTGGCTCTGTAGAAGAGCCTCTGCTTTGCATGGGGGGGGGGTCCCCAGGTTCAGTCTTCAGCATCTCCCCTTAAAAGCACCAGGCAGTAGGTGATTATGTAGAACATCAGCGAAGCCATGTTGGATCAGGCCCAAGGCCCATCCAACCCAACGCTCTGGGTCACACAGTGGCCAAAACCCAGGTGCCATCAGGAGGTCCACCAGCGGGGACAAAAACATCAGAAGCCCCTCCCACTGTTCCCCCCCCCCCCAAGCACCAAGAATGCAGAGCATCACTTGCCCCAGACAGAGTGTTCCATCTGTACCTTGTGGCTAATAATCAATGGGATTTCCCAGGGTATGTGCTTTTGAGAGGCAGAGCTCGCTTCGTCGGAATGGCGAGGGCCTACCTGGCTTCTCCTGACGAAGGGAGCTTTGACTAACGAACACACGAAGGCTGCCTTCTACTGAATCAGACTTGTCAGGCCGCCAAAGTCGACCTTGTCTACTTGGACTGGCAGCGGCCCTCCAGGGTCTCAGGCGGAGGGTCTTTCCCGTCACCCACTGCATGTTCGTTTCAACTGGAGATGCCGGGGATTGAACCTTTGGACCTTCCGCATGCCAAGCAGAGGCTCTGCCACTGAGCCACGGGCCCCTCCCATTACACCCCATTTATACCCTGGGAAATTGTGTTGGTCTTTAAGGTACTACCAGACTCAGAAGTAGGTTCTGATGCTACTGCCAGTCCAACTGTGTTGGGTGGCTTTTAGGAGTCCTGGTGGTATGAGAGAGTTGCCACTTATGATATTTGGGTCCCTTGGACTGAAATTGGACTCGTGGGGAGCAGGGCAGGGCTCTTTTTGTAGAAGAAGCCCAGCAGGAACTCATTAGCATAATAGGCCACACCCAACCACAGAAACTCATTAGCCTATTAGGCCACACCCCTGACAGCACAGCTCATTAGCACATTAGGCTTCACCCCCATGTTACCAGAAGTATGGTCATCCAGCCACACCCACCTTTTGCTTCTTATTCTGTTTGCCTTGTTTGTAGCTTTTTTTTGTAGCAGGAACTCCTTTGCATGTTAGGCCACACACCCCTAATGTAGCCAATCCTACTGAGTTCCTGCTGTTGGGTGTGGCCTATTATGCTAATAAGTTCCTGCTGGGCGTAGCCAACTTGGGAGCCAGCCGGAACTCCGTTCCTGTGCGTTCCTGCCCAAAAATAGCCCTGGAGCAGGGGAACTGCTGGGATTCTGATCCTCTTGTCTTTTACGAGCTTTGTTGGAAGACTTTTCAGAGAGCTGTCGGTCTTCTTTCCAGAAATCCTGGAAGTGTAACGTTGAGCCTTAGGGATGTGGTGGGCTGGAAGCTTTAAGTTAAACATAGTGGAGTCAGGTCCTGGTGCGGTGTATCTCAGGGTGCCTGTAGATAACATCGATTTCCCGTGGGAAAACCCCCCACACCCGATGGCTTTCCTGTCTTCTGTCCACAGCACGTCCAGCTCCTGACCCAGATCCACCTCCTCTGCAGCTCCACCCCCAGCCTGAGCTCTGAGGCCAGCACCACCGAGCTCTTCCTGGTAAGGCACGAGGATCAAAGCGGGGCTGCCGCCACGCTTCCTCTCCCCCATCGTTGGTGCTTCATTCCAGTTACTCAGAGGGGTGTGTGCGCGCGTGTATTTCCTTTGCCGGATGGCTGGAGAAGGGGGGTCGGCCTTTGGGGTGGAGGCCGCCGAGCAGCCGGAAGGAGGCAAAGCAAGAGAGATTGCTAATGGTGGGGCGTTCACGGGAGAATCGTCATTGTGCCCGAAAGCCGCAGCCGTCCAATTGCGGCGGAGCATTTAGTAGAATCAGTTTGCAAGACCCGAGCAGGGCTGTGAACGAGAGGACGTTCTGGAGGTAGTTAATTCACAGGGTCGGCGTACGTCGGAAGCGACTAGGCGGTACTTGATGCACACGTTTGGGAGAAACTTCGCGCGTATGTGTGATTCTCCCCCGGCCCCCAAGCTTTTCTCTGTTTCTATGAGGGCTAGAACCTTTTCTCTTTTGATTTCAGAAGGAATTTGCAAGGTCGGTGGGTAAGGCTCATAGGGGGGTGGGTACAGGGGATGAGGATCGGACAGGGAGCTGAGGGTAGGGGGATTCTAGGGGTCCGGGCCTCTTCCAGGGATCCCCAACGCCATTAGGGTTCTTTTCTATGGGTGGGTGGCGTCTGGCTAGGGAACTCAGCCCTCCAGAGGGAGAGAAACAGAACGAGAACACTTGCCTTAAGCTAGAAGTATTTATTAACTCTAAAACCATGCACAAGTAAAACCCAATAGCATATATTCGATATCAATACCCAATAAGCACCGAGGTGTCGAACTCATTTGTTACGACGGCCGGATCTGACATAAATGTCAGTTTGCTGGGCCGGGCCATGTGTGCCATAAAACGTAATGCCGAGTACCGGAGATAGAAACTTTATAAAGGGCAGCAGCCGGTAAGCTCTGAGCTGGTGGGTCCTCACTGCAGGGCCCCATGAGCTGGGAGGGGGGTGCAGAGGAAAATCTACATGGGCGGACAGGAGACCCAGCAGTGCAGCACTGGGCAGATGCTCCCAGGCGCGCGCGCGCGCACACACACACACACACACACACACACACACACACACACAGAGGCTTAAGGCCATCCAAGACCGCATCCCCGGAGCTGCACGCCAAGTGGAGATGTATGAATGTAGCTGCAGTGGCTCTCAGCTTACCAGTGAGGCTGCCCCTGAAGTTGAAGGGGTTCTGTTTGACTGCTGCGGACTCCACAATTGGAGTGGCCCCGCCCACTCACCCCTGAACAGCTTCCTGTTCCCTCCCTTGCACCAGTTGCTTGCGGGCCACATAACCGTGGACTGGCCGCTCCCAGCCCCCGGCCCTTGCATTTGACACCCCTGCAACATCATATAGAAAAATCCCAATACCTGATATAGTGTACACTTCAGAAAAAAAACCAAGGAATTCCTGGACTGTGGACCAAGACCTCACTCAATCCTAAATGGGGTGTTGGCCATACAGCCCCAAACAAAGCCCAAAGCCAGTTTGGTGTAGTGCTTAAGTGCGCGGACTCTAATCCGGGAGACCCGGGTTTGATTCCCCACTCCTCCACTTGCATCTGGCTGGATGACCTTGGGCAAGCCGTAGTTCTGATAAGAGCTGTCCTTGAAAAAGAGCAGTTTCTGTCAGAGCTCTCTCAGCCCCACCTACCTCACAGGGTGTCTGTTGTGGGAAGGGGGGGAAGGGAAAGGAGACTGTAAGCCGCTCTGAGACTCCCTTGGGTAGTGAAGGGCAGGGTAGAAATCCAATCTCTTCTTCTCTTCTTCTTCTTTTTATTCTCTTTTCAGCCAACAGGCGTCAATTAAAAATCTACCAGACTTGCCAAATACCAGCCCATATTAACATGAACTTTTGCTGGTGTGAAACTGTGCCTAGATATATTTTATTAACTGCGGCGTCAAAAAGACCTAGGCAGATATGTTTAGGCTTTGAAGGCCATGAAGTGTGAATTCACGCAAAGGTACATCTGCAGGGCAAGGCTTTAGTTCTTACACCTAGGCTGCCAGCAAGAGAGCAAAGGCTTCTGGGACTTCTGAACCAAGAAACCAAAGTTGGTTACAGCAAAACCTACATAGCATAGAGAAACAGAAAGGCCCAGGCTCGTTGAACCCCAAATCCTGCAACACTGAGCCGACACGTAGCCATCAGGAACAACTTCCTGGTTCCTTCCCCCAAATAATCCGTGTCTTTACAGGCTTCTCTGTTTGGTCAAAAGGACTTGTTCTTGTTGTGTCCTCAGTCACAATCACCAAAACCTTTATTGGCATAACAGCATGAATCCATATAGATTACAATAGGATCTGTGGTCAAAAAGACCATCTCTTCCTAGAGGCGTAACAAAAGGAATTTTGGTACAGATTAAATGCTTTTGCTCATTTTGTTGTGTTCTTTAAAGCAGGGCGGCTGTTTGAGCATCTAACCGCTTGCATACCACCTTGCTGTAGGGCTTTGCAATAAGCAATCATAAAATCTAGTGGGATGCCGCGCTAAACTACACATCTCAGTGCGCTGTATTTCTGGGCTGGAGGTGCAGTTCCCAACTCTGCATCCGTGACCCCGTCCGAAGAGCCTCCTCCCGCCTCCTCCCTCTCAGCCTCTTGCCCTTCTTTCTTCTTCCGCAGACCGAGCTGAACTCCTTTGCCCAGAGCGCCGCTCTCCTCCACCACCCGCTCAACCCCAAGGCCCAGACCTCCTTCCAGCCCTGCAACCTGAAGGAAGCCCTGCAGCTCGTGGAGGACTTCCATGCCCACGTCAAGGTGGAGGGGAGCCCACGCAAAGGCGTCAAAAAGAACGGTATGTAGAGTGGTCCATGTGTGGAGGCTTGGTGTGACTAGTTAGCCACTGAACCACATTGATCTGAGGCACAGGTCCCCAATATGGCGCCCATGGGCACCACGTAGGGCTGCCAAGTCGCCCCGGGGGGGCGGGGAAACCCCCGTCCTGGCGTGCGCGTCACCAGGAAGTGGCGCTATGACGCCGGGCACGCTGGGGGCGGGGCCACGGCCATACAAGGGAAAACTGGTTTTCCCTTGTATGGTCGTGGCCCCGCCCCCAGCGTGCCCGGCGTCATAACGTCACTTCCTAGTGACGTGCATGCGGCGTGTGCTTTGCGTGCGTGCGTGCACCCCAGGAGCCAGCCAGGAGTCCCCCATGGAGGAGGTGAATGCCACTTGGCAACCCTAGCACCATGGCACCCACCAGCAAGTGCTTTTAGGAAGCGGGAAGGACCAAGTGGAGCTTTTGCTCAGGAAGGAGATTTGGCTGGCTGTGCAGGTTCTTGAAAACGTTGCTTTGGTGGCAGCTGCCAGCGCAGCGCAAGGAGCTTCACTGTGTGGCTAAAGGTAAGCCAGGGTAGAAGAAGAAGAGGAGGAGGAAAAGGGGATTGGATTTATACCCCACTGTGTGAACCGGGAACTTCACTCTCAGTTCTTCTGCCAAAGCCAGTTGGGCCGGGTCTCAAGCTGGCAAAGAGCAACTTGTTTTTCTTTATCAACACTCCAAGCACTTTGCGCTTGAAAAGCTCACCTCTTCAGTCTCTGGTTCGCCTCTGGGGAAGGGAAGGGAGGCACCCATTAACAACACCGCTCCACAGTTCAAGTCTCGGAAAGCTCGACAGAGTTTATTGAAGATGATTACAAAGGAAGATAAGTAATCACTGCACCATAGCAGTGAGTATCAAACATACCAACATTCGCAGAGTTTCATGCTCCCTGGCCCTGTAGCCTGGAAAGTAAGTTAGCTTAGCTCTAAAGAAAGACATCCAATATTAAGCTGCCTGCTGGCCACTCAAGGCCAAGTAGCTAATTATTATTTGCAGCTGTGGAATTCTTAAAGAAAAAGGAAAAAACTCCAAGGTCTTCGGCTGAAACAGTTCACGGGGCTGGAGCTGAAACCACTTAGAGTGTCTATTTCAAATTAACCATCTAAAAATGAAAAGAGAAGCACGTGCTGCTTCCCTCCACCCTCCCTTCACTTGGAGTCTCAGAGCGGCTTACAAACTCCTTTCCCTTCCCCTCCCCACAACAGACACCCTGTGAGGTAGGTGGGGCTGAGAGAGCTCTTTCGAGAACTGCCCTTGAGAGAACAGCTCTGAGAGAACTTGTGACTGACCCAAGGTCACACCAGCAGCTGCAAGTGGAGGAGTGGGGAATCAAACCCGGCTCTCCCAGGTTAGAGTCTGCGCTCTTAACCACTGGACCAAACTGGCTAACCATTTTGTGGCTGGCTCCACCTCCTGTGGCAGCCATTTTAAGGCAGCCGTTGTGCGGCCGTGCCCTCCGTGCTGTGTCAGATGGCTATGGGGGGGTAAAAAGGTTGGGTTGTCCAAAATCTGACCCTGCACTGCCAGTGAAAGGGGGCACAACGTGAGTGGATCGCTCCCAGGGCAAAGCCCGCTCAAGGTAATCGGAGGAAGGGTGTGTGTTCGATCCATTCACAAGTGCTCAGGTTTGGTGTCCGTCGGGGGGGGGGGGCAGCAGGAAACAGAGGGGCTGCTCTTCCACCTGAGAGCCCAAAGTAGCTGATGCTTGATCTCCGCCAGCCTTCAAGGCCAAATTTGCTTACTGTTAGCGGTAGAAGAAGAGTTGGTTTTTAGACCCCGCTTTTCTCTATCTCAAGGAGTCTCAAAACAGCTCACCTTCCCTTCCCTTCCCCTCCCTATAACAGGCACCTTGTGATGAGGCAGGTGGGGCTGAGAGAGCTCTGAGAGAACTGGGACTGGCCCAGGGTCACCTAGCAGGTTTCATGTGGAGGCAGAGTGGGGAATCAAACTCGGCTCTCCAGATTAGAGTCCGCCTCTTTTAACCACTGTACTACTTTGGCTCTTTGCTACTCTTCTCCCCTCAACAGGCACCTTGTGATGAGGCACGTGGGGCTGAGAGAGCTCTGAGAGAACTGGGACTGGCCCAAGATCACCCAGCAGGCCTCATGTGTCTCAAAGAGGCTTACAATCGCCTTCCCTTCCTCTCCCCACATCAGGCACCTTTTGAGGGAGGTGGGGCTGAGAGAGTTCTGAGAGAACTGGGACTGGCCCGAGGCCACCCAGCAGGCTTCACGTGTCTCAAAGCGGTTTACAATCACCTTCCCTTCCCATCCCTACAACAGACACCCTGTGAGGCAGGTGGGGCTGAGAGAGTTCTGAGAGAACTTGGGACTGGCCCAAGGCCACCCAGCAGGCCTCACGTGTCTCAAAGCGCCTTACAGTCGCCTTCCCTTCCTCTCCTCTTCTTCCGCCTCCTCTCCCCCACTCGTGTGCTCTTCCTGCAGCCCAAGACGTCCAATGCCTGCCGAAGCAAGTTGCCTGGATCCTGGCCACGAGGCAGGTCTTCATGTACCCGCAGCTGCTGCCCATCTGCGCCCTGAAGGCCAAAACGCCCCGCGACAAGATCATCTTCACCAAAGGGGAGGACAAGTAGGTGCTCGAGGGTGGCGCTGAGCGGCCGGCCGAGTGCCCTGCACGCCGCATGGCTTTCTGCATGGCCGCAAATGCTGTCAGGGGAGAGGCAGAGAGCTGGTCTGTTTTCAGCTACGAAGGGATGGATCCTGAGCGTCCGTCCTGGTAACAGTGGCAGCTTCCCCTGACTCATGTGGTGAGGCCTCTTTGGCTGGGGGGGGGAGGCATTGGCTTTTCTTTCTTTTGGTGAGTATTTGTGTATGTGTGTTATCAGGGGTCATTTTGTAGAAAAAGAGGTGCAGGAGCTAATTAGCATAAGCATAACTCATTAGCATAATTTATTTGCATATGCCACACCCCCTGACATCACCGGAAGTGTGTCAGAAGGCAACACCCACCGCTCAGGCTCCACTGGACTGTTTTGGATTGCTAGCTATTGGGGGGGAGGGAACGTGCAGATCTGTCCTCGCAGAGGAGGGAGAGCTTGTACCTGAATAAAACTTGGTCTTAAAGGTGCCACTGGAGTGTTTTGGATTGCTAGCTAT